TCCAAAACGCGCGCCAAAAGAAAAGTATAACTTCAATAAAAATACAAGAAATAAATGAATAATCGAGATGATATTATTAGATTAACCGATCGGAAATAATGCGTTTGTCGCAAAGAATAACGCCTCCTCTCTCTCTCTCTTCCTCTCTCTCTCTCTTCCTCTCTCTCTTTCTCTCTCACCTCTTTCCTCTTTGGCCATTCTCCGTTCCGGCGATTCCGTAACGGGCCTCTGCCGGTCGTAAAGCACGCCAAGTGCGTCGATAATTCCGTTGCCGTGCGAAAGAAAGGACGAGGATACCTGGTCAGCTTGGACATAGCCCTTGCCCCCTTTCCCTCTCTTCCAATCCCCGTCTTCTCTCCCCTTCCTTCTACCTGTCTCTCACTCTGTCTTTCAAAACTCGCTAATGGCGGCACCTGAATGAAACTTTCGACGACGACGAACGTGCCTCGACGGAACTCTCGAATGTTGACGTTGTTAACAAGCTCTAGCTAGCTAGCTCTAGCTAGCTCTCTTTTTTAGCTAACTTTTCTTACTTTTCTTCTCGTTTTTTTCCCCTTAATTTTTACATATGTTATAGGAGGAGGGAGTAAAAAAAGAAGAAATATCGTATGGAACGATTTTCAAGAAATTATTCCATCAATACGACGCACTCTCTCTTGGTCTTCTTCTTCTTCCTCTTCTTCTAAAGTAAACACACACGCAAAATAATGAAAAAAAAAGGATAGAATGGAAAACTTTGTCTGGTAACTAAATAATTTGCCGAATGGGGCACAGCGCGTTGTTTCTTTCCCCGTTTGTATTTCTAAATAAAGTCTAATAAACGTTGTAGTAGCAACAACAATTTTTCGAGAATGTAAATAAAAAGTTGGTTAATTAAAAAAATTCGTAGGTGTATGTATATCGAGAAGAAACGAGAGAAATAGAAAAATATGAGCCGCGAAACCCCGTTGGCGGTAATAATTTAATCCGGGAGGAAGCACGTGAATGTGGCCGTAGGAAAGGTTCGTGCGCACTTTCACGCAGCCGAGCCGGTTGAGAACCACTGTAGGAGCGCTCTGTTGCGTCGCAGCAACTCGCCGGCCTGGCGGCGGCTGCTTTGCTGCTCCCTACGTCAGAGAAAAACACGCATACACGCACGTATATATACACAAATATATATACGCATATATACACGTATATATATATATATATATATATATATATACACACATTTGTACACATACACAAACTTTCCTTAAGCTTCCACGAACGCACACTACGAGAGTCTACGAGTATCTAGTCTCTTAGAGTCATGTGTAGTAAGTAAGAACCATATTATGAAACGCGCACGCGCATGTTGTGTTTGTGTGTGCGCGCGCGACACGCTGTTACGACGTGCAGCGTCGGCGTCGTTCGAGGAAGAAGAGCAGAAAAGACGGATAGCAGTCAACGTCAACGTCATCGTCATCCTCGTCTTCTTCGTCGTTGGTTGTTGTTGTTCTTGTTGTTTATCCGTTGTATCGTTTCAAATTTTGCTTGCTCGTGAAGATTATATACATTTATTATACGCACACGCCCTTGAGCGAAATTATATTCCGAATCGGAGAAAGACGAAGAGGAAAATAAAGGGGGAGGGGAAAAAGGGAAATGGTTGTGGTGGTGGTAATAGTTTGGTGGTGGTGGTATCTAAGGGAAGAAGAGACACATTCCTTCTATTACTACGTTTCTTCTTATTTTCGTTTTCTTTTCATTTTCATTTGGATAATATTGTATTATATTATATCATTCGAATACCAAACCACCCACCCTCCCCCACCATCTAATTTCCGTAAAACAATATTTTTATTAACTTTCAGCACTCTCTAATATATCTATCATTTATTTTATTTTTTCTTTCTATTCCTATACAAAGTAAGTAAATACTACGATAATATTTTATTTTATTTTACAATAGAGGAAATACGGTAATAAACGCGAGAGGATTACGAAGAATATATGAAATAAAATGGATAATAACTTAGCGGGAGAAATACAAACGTCAGCTGACTCACCCTAAGCGCGTAGGAAAAGAAGAAGAGGATAAATACCGCGCGTTAAAATTACGCACGTGAGAATCCTTCGCACATATATATACAATATATCATTTTCTGTCGATCATTTTAACGTGAACGACAATGAATATTAAAAGAACGGAATTTTACAACGTCCAACGCGAACAATTTTTGCGGCATCGTATTACATAACTCAATGAGAAGATAGAAAAAAAAAAAAAAGGAGAGAGAAAAATAAAATGAGAGGAAAAGAGGAGAAGAGAAGAAGAAGCAAAGAGAGAGAGAGAGAGAGAGAGAGAGAGAGAGAAAGAGAGAGAGAGAAAGAGAGAGAGAGGGAAACATTTCGAGACGTAGAAAATACGACGCAAACTCAAACCGAGCGAGAGAAACAACACGCGCTGCTGATGTTCCCAAACGATAATCTCGAATTATCGTAAGAGGAGGAAAGAGATGATTCGAGATATCGCCCGCCACTTTCGAATCGGATGGATTCGAGGAACGCCGATGGGTCCCGAGGCTCTCTCCTCTCTCTCTCACACTCTTCTTCATTTTTCCCCTGCGTGTGCCACGGGTTGTGAACACGCGCGCAAACTCACGCTTCGCGTTACGTAATCCCGATAAAGCAAAATCGTTTGACGCGAGGTTGCGACGCGAAATTCAGTCCTGCTTTTTTTTTTTCTTTTTAGCGAGTAAACAACCAATGAAACAACGCAAGGCAAGGCTAAGCTACCAAACGAATTCTTTTTTAACGAAGAAAAGAATGAATTTGAAAGAACGAAAGAGAGAAGGAAAAGAACAAAATAAATGATACGAAGGATTGCGGTAAACGGTTTCTCACGCAACCTTCCGAACGCGAGTTCGACCTCTCTCTCTCTCTCTTCCATTTCTCTCTTCATTCGAAAATACGATCCCGTTTTATTATCGCACGAGCGAACGAATACCTCGACGTTCATCGACGATTTTGCACTCCATACGACGAACGACGACACGACACGACGTTTCGTGTGCTTATGTGGTGTGTTAACACGCACACGCACACACTTACGTAACACGCAGCACAGGCATATACAAACATACAAATACAGATACAGAGGACACAGGCACAGACACAGAGAAACGCACAACACACGTCGACCTACCAACTACCTTCTTCTCCCTGTGCCCCCCTCTCCCTCTCACAGTCTCTCTTTCCGTCTCTCTCGCTCTCCCTCTCTTTCGCTCTTTCTCGTGACGTTTCGACGAGCTTACTACGCGTTACACGAACGGTAAAGGAGCCCGTTCGCGATCGATAATACCGGGTGACCACTTCGAGCACGTGTCAGCTCGCGAACCGGTCGAAAGAAACGAAGAAGAGAATCTACTATAGAGTATTTGTTCTGTTAACTATTTCCTTTTCAATATCTTGTTCACGTGTTATCATCGAGAAATGACGCCAGTAACGATGCTATCATTTTCAAGGAAACAAGAAGAAGAAAAGAAGAAAAAACAAAAAAAACATAGACAAATCCTGATAACGCGAGAACCATCGCGACGCGACACGACGCGACTTACTATTCGATTAAGTACGCGAAAATTCTCTTTTAAACGAGTTACATACACACACATCTCACAAAAACTGAGATTTTATCGACATAAATTATTTTCATCTCGAGCGTAAGTAAGATCGATTCGATCGATTACAACTTGGGCCTTTGCCGTGATCGTAAATATAATATAAATGATGTATAATACACACACATAGTAGTAGTAACATCGAGAAATGGTTTTTGCCGAAAAGTACAGAGAGAGAGAGAGAGCAACGCAGATATTCTTTCACGATCGTTTTATTCGCAGCCTGCAACTTGCTACCTACCTACCCTCCCTCCTTGCTACCTACCCTCCCTCCTTCCTACCTTCCCTCCCTTCCTCTCTCTTCGTTCATCCCTTTTCTACCCTTAACGAAAAAGCCGATAGGTGAGCGCGAGCGACGTTCGTTTTATTGCACCGCCTCTATTTGGAACCGTTCGTGTATAACCGTCGAATAAACTCGATAAACTCGAGTTGAAACCAACCGACTGGTAGCATCGGAGTCGTGTACAGGGATATCTAGGCCGTATTATGGATCTCTACGTGCGAATGGTTCGCATGTGAAACTTTGTCCCGTTCAAGAGACTTCTCATTCTCCTCCCACCCTCCTTTTCGTATCACGAAAAATACGATTTATTATTCTTTTTCCCTTTTTCCTTTTTTGTTTTTTTTTTTTCTTTTTTTCGACGCGATCTCATCTCTAAACATGACTTTTATCCACGATCCTACTACATGTATAGTATTATTATTATTATTATTATTATTATTATTATTATATATCCATCCCTATAAAGGTTACCTCATCTTGTTTTTTATTCGAACAATTTATTGAAAGAAAATTATTGCTGCCTTGACCATAAGAGCGAATCCTCGAGAATTTTTATTAAATATTACATGCTTTTGTTTTGTTCTTTTTTTTTTTTGAATAAAAAGAAATAAATAATAATAAAAAATAAATAAAATAAAATAAAATAAAATACGTCTTTCGATTCTCTCGAATGACTGGTGATTTGACAATGACAACGCGCCGAGAAAGAGCGCGAAAGCGATATGTAACCAATTGAAATTGATTTCATGTGTGTATTTATTGTTTATATGTGTATTGTATTAATAAATGTACTCACCCGCCAGAATCATGTCGCTTTCTCGTCTTTTAACAGGCAATCCAAAAATATATCGAACGTATAATATATATCATAAGTTTATATAAAATTGTACGTTATGCGTATGCAATAATCAACTTGTTGTGTGTGTATATTTACACCAGGGGCACACTATGTGATATATCAAGAGAAGAATAAATGTCTCTTCTTCTTCTTCTTCTTCTTTTTCTTTTCTTAATATTTTTTTTCTTATTCTTTTATTTCCTTCGGCACTTTCGAATTTCTAGGACCACCCCTATAGTCTTTCTTTCTTTCTTTCTTTTTTTCTTTCTCTCTCTCTCTTTCTTGTTTCGTTTGGTCCCGAAAATGTCGGTAAAACTTAAATCACAGCTGCAACAACCTTTTATCCTCGACTTCTTTCTCACTTTGAACTTTTATCGATTTTCTCTTTCTATTATTTCTTTCTTCCTTTCTTCCAATTCCTTTTCTCGTAGATCTTCGCAAAATGACGACGACGACGACGACAACGATCACCAACCACCAACAGCAACACTCACTACGATCTCGAACGCGTTCTTCCTCGAGATTATTCCTAAATCGTGATACATGAGATAAAAATGGGAAAGAAAAGAAAATTACCGATGAAAGTAAATATCATCAGTTTTTATTATGTTCTCCGTTATTTTATCTTATTCGGAGATTATCACGAAGAACGACGAGGGGTACGACAAAATGACGATTTTTCGACACGAGAACAACAAAAATGATTTAAAATTCTCTGGTAATGCTGTTTTTTTTTTT